TGAAAATTTCTTGTTGGGATCCATTGCTCAACCAGAGTTCCTTCCGTTTTCTTTAGGACGGGAGTACATAGACCTTTTTGGACACTTCCCAACGGGTAAAGGCAGCGAGCGCGCTTGATGCAAGTTGTGAGATATACTTCATTCTTTCCGGTGTGCAACGCTCTGATGTTCCGATGACAGACATGATGAATATTCAGAACTGCAATTCAACATGTCGAATACACGCTTCTGGGCTCCTCGGATATCTACATGATCATCAGAGATCCTCTAGCGCATCATGTTTATAGGCTTGCTGAAGTACGGTATGTGATTTCCTCGCCCCGGAGACGAGACCCAGCTTCCAATTTTCGATGTCGAACTCCTTCGTCCTCGTCGATGATGCCGATGTCAGGCTCAAATACTCTAAGGGCGACTGGACCCCGAGCGGGAACTCCAATGAATATAACAGCACTACCCACGGGACGTACAACGCCGGGGCAACAATGAGCTTCGTATTTAATGGTTCAGTGGCTTGACATTTCTTCTCCTGCTCGTTACTCACGCATCATCATCATAGGCACTATGGTCAAAGTATACGGGACTATTATTTCCAAAGATGGTCCCAATGCGCCCGACCCTGTATCCACGTATACTGTCGACGGAGGCGGCAGTACGACCTTTGCGCCTGTAACACTTCCCAGCGTGCAGTATAGACAACTCCACTTCCACTCAGCGGACCTGCAGCCTGGGGAACACACCCTTGTGATGGAGTCCGTAGCCCCGGACGCTGGCATTTGGCTGGATTATCTGTTGTATCTGCCGCTCGCAGGCGATAAGCCCGACGGCGTCGTGGTCAACGAAACGCAGAGTTTCAGTGGTTCCACTGCGACTATCACGCTATTGACGAGCGCCACTGCCTCGGGCGATATAGCATTGACAGGCAGTATTACCCCGACGGGTCCTTCGATGGCAAGGAATACTACTGGAGCACAAGGAGGTGCGGGCACAGCCTCCGACTCCTCCGCTTCGAAGAAAATGCATTCCATCATTGTTGGCGTCACTGTAGGCGGGACGGCTGCAGTGCTTCTTGTCGCCTGTTTAGTCGGCGTGTTGTATTACTGAAAGAGGCGCCGCCTACTAAGGCAACGAGTGTCCCCTGGACATATCCAAACTCGTTCGATGACTCCATTCTTGGAACAATCTCCAAGTAAGTACTACATCTCTTTCGTCAAGTGTGGATCTTTATTCTTATAATCACCAAGGTGTGTCCCCGATAACATTGAAATGGTCGCCTGTTACAGCTAGTCTGTCGTCCTTTTCGAGTTCGAGGGGACCGGAGGAACGTCCGCCTGCTTATCAGCAGTGATGATGCCCATGGTTTCTAATGTTCGAAACTAGGACTTTTTTAAAAATGGACATTCGATGTTACACTGTATATATACTGTCAATGGTACTAGGAGACTTTGTTATGTCTGTACTTCGGAGTTCTAGTTTCAGCCTAAAGAGTCGTCGCATATTGTACTTGGGGTAAGCATTGAGACTCACACCATACCGCAGTCACAGTGAGACGGTTTCAATCCTCCTGGGCAATGGCTTGAGATTATTGAGTGTCCGTGAAGACCGTTTAGGCTCTACTCTCCTCGGGTGTAGCGGAAGCTGGACGCTTTGGTGCACCCCACGTGATCGCGTTCCTCCTTCTGTTCTCCCGCCATCACCAAAGCTCGATATCGTTCGCTAGCCACCCTTGCGACAGCAGCAGCCAAGATAGAATAGTGCCCTGGCCTTCCTTCCGGCAAAACAACGGACTATGTAGACGTCCTCCAATCAATGATACACCCAAAATCCGAGTCGACGAAAACAGTAAAGTGTGTATGGGCAGCTTTTCTGCATGTCGCGTTGTCTAACAGGCTACTTCGAAGCTGTTTGAAGGCCGGGTGTCGCTGGGGTTCGACTGACTACAGATTGTCGGATGGCAACTGGTACATCCTCGGTCCGACACAACGTTTTCATGGAGCCTCAACGTCCATTTGCTTTAAAGCCACATATGCGGCCACCGCATCTTTCTATTAAACAATGGGAGGCACGTCGTGAAGGAAAACTTTTAGGACGTTTCTTCATTTGTCGGCGATGGTCCGAAGCTCATGTTTGCTAATTGCGCCTCATATCATTCCTTGCGGTCCAAAGAAACGCAGCTACGGATCCCGCCCATACACGTTTCCCCCGCATACCATCGGAAACCACAACGCATATATTTACGCCAAAGCTTCTGGCGTGGACCAAAATCGTTACGAGCATCCACGACCTTTCTTCATATGCATCATGCCGTTGGAAGAATCAATGGCAACAACACCTCACCAAACTACATGTTTGCTCTAGAGGCGCCAGGGTAAGACAATAGCCCTCATTTCCAGTGTTTCCGTCGACAGGCACACGACGTCCTCGCCGCCGAACTACCCATCCTCTACCTCGTCATCGTCACGCTCCACGATGGCACGAAGTCATGAGGCGCTACTCGCAGGTATGCTCGTTGACCATGAACTTGCAGTTCGTCGAGCTACACGCGCCGTTGGGAGATCCGTTCCAGCTCCTCAACGACGAGCTCATCGCGCAGGGCTGCTCGCATATATCAACGCCCCAGATAAGCGTCGACACACATAGGTATCATCTTCTTCACTCGACCGAGGCCTCCTTCAAGAGGAAGCGAACCGTCTGGTCGATCCACCACCGCGTCAAGTACGATGAATGACGCTAGAGCAGTAGATGACCATGGGAGGCTACCTGAAATGCCCTCCTGCGCTCGTCAGGAAGCGCAAGGTAATTCCATGCATAAACTCAGATGATCATATAGATAGTTTGGTATGATAGCAATTTGAAAGCAATACGAAAGCCTGCAGATAATATGTGAAATCTAGAGGATGCGCCCAATGGCAGTTGCAATCTTCGCTTTCCGACGAGCTAATGTGTTTGCCCCAGCGAGGACTGGCAGATTCGGAAAGTAGCCAGCATAATAGCCATATGACTCGGGTAGGGTGAGTGCTTGAAGGGCAGCAATGCTGTTCAAAGGGGGAAGAGCGATATTGCCCTGTAATGAAGTCAGATATCTCGCTCTTATTGATAGTGCAGGTATGACATACGGTGTTGGGCACATTGACTAGCAACCCCCAAGGTCTGCGCCCATCAGGGAATGGGACCTCGTAGAAAGGGCCGTTATCGTCAACCAAAAATTCAGAGTTGCGATCCTAAATGGCCTTTGGTGAATGGTGGAACAAGGCGAATGATGAAGATAACGTACTTGGCCATCCCGAATCATGAGGGTGGTAACATCGCGTTTTAGTACAGTAAGATCGCCTTGCACGCGATTAACGAATGGTTGGAAGTGTTGATTGTTCCAGGCCTGGAACCATGGCGCTACGGGGATTGGTCAGAACCAAAACAAAGCTTTTAGGAAGAGGCTTTTAACGTACGGGTTCCAGCAATCCCGAGAGACTGCTCAGTAACTACATGCTCATACTGGACGCAGGCAACCAAAGCGTCATCACTCACGAACTCGGGCGACTGGGGTGCGTGAGCTTTCCCTGTAGCAGAAAATCAGAACGGGTGCGATCTCCGACGCGTATTAACTTGCGATGCCTCTCGGCCGCCCTTCGGTGGAGCCGAACAGACTCAACAACATCTTGAGTGGTCGGTGGTTGTTGGGGAGGCGCTGGGCGTATCAGTCCGCCGTAGCTGTGTGCAGCGTCTTGTACGAGGAGCGTAATCGGGTTCGCAGGGGGCGGGATCGCGGCCATGGTAGTAGTGTTGGGAATTGTAGTTGTGTTGTGGTTGATCGTTGAAAGTTATAGCACTGTTCCACATCGGGACGTTCTCTCACGTGCCTCAGGTTTGCCGGCCTTACGGCCACATGGCCTTAACGAACGAGCATCATCTGGCCGACCTAGCCTTCAGATCTTCAGACGTAGGTGCGCCGTCGAGCTTGAAGTTGAAGCAACGCGTCAAACGTGTCGATCACGAGATAGCCAATTAGTTTGCACAGGTATACCTCTTGACCAGCAACCACGAGCATCAACAGTGAACACCGACGCGTCCTTCGCCGCTCCCGATGCTGTAGCCATCGAAGCCCCCGACGCCGTGCACAACGGCCCAGAGGTATAAACCCTTCCCGCCTTTTCGCGTCTAGGCTCAGCGTGCTGCCTGATCTCTAGATCGTTAACGCCTCGTTGGGGCCGTACACAGCTAAGGACTCGATGGTGTCAATATCGACTGGGTAAACCTGCGTTTTCTTCCCATACATCATATTGACCTATCACTAGGAATACCTCAAGGTGCGGGAAACCTATGCTCTCCTCCGGATTGCGGACCATGGTTAGGTCCTAATGGTTCTCCGTTGACAAACGTCTCTGCATACGCGGCACAGATGACGTCTATCAACGTTATGTGCGTATACTCGTGGATGCCGTGTCTATGCTCAGGCTTGAGCGACTCTTGTCAGCTCTTGGTCCGAATGCCCTCTTGGGTGCGTGCTTTCTTCCTTTTGTTTTGTCGTTCTTTCACGCCGTTTTAGGAAACCGATGGGGACGTCAGACCAGCTCAAGGCGGGCGCGGTCACATCATATACGAGATGTCGGGGGAATCCCGCTCGTCGCTTGTCACTCTCACTCCTGTTGGATGATACCTTTCTCGACGTCCTGGGTAATTTACTGTCAGCCTGACGAAATGGTACGAGCAACCCTGGAGAAACTCTTGTGGAGCCACGACGATGATGGGCGGTTCCCTTTCCTCCCCTCCGGCATGTCTATTCAGAGTAACCGTTCTTCACGGAGACTCGAGAGCGAGGATAGATGGGCTGTCGGAGGGCAGTGACGGAGAAGCCGGGGAGGGGTAGACTATTGAACAAAGAGAGTTGCTCATATTGATGAACCACGGCCGCGGCGCACGTCTCCACACAGACTTCCCTCAATTCCTCCTACACTTGAGCAGTCGTTCCTCCCGGGATCTGAATATCAGACCCACGGTGATAGTTATCGGATATGGTGTAACGGCTAACATTGCCGCCTCTCATCACGTCCTAAGTTGTGCACTTTCCTGAGCGCGGCAGCTCGGGGTTCGATTCCCCGTATCCGAATGCATTTTTTGCTTTTCCTCTTCGCCGCAACGTGCTGTCCAGGTCGTAGCAGACTCCAGAGTACGCCGGACTTGACATCGATTGTCTCGGCTTAATGGTATTTCTGCTAGTGGTACGAGCTGGGCAAGGTCTTTAAGGTAGTTCAGAAAAACGCGGGTCGTCCTCCAAGACCGTTCATATCCCCTCTGCGCATAGTGATCTCACCAACTTTTTAGGTTATCTAGGAGGGACTGATAATCATGAGTGATACACGAACTTGATGAAGACGCGAAGTGCAGTGCCGGCGCATCGGTGCGGCGCTGAGGATCGCAATGGGAAGGACATGCAGGCAAAAAGCAGTCATCTTCAATTCATAAAGTAAAATAGGAACTCGTCGAAAAGCGCACGCCATCTGGGAACAAAGCCTTGTTTATTTAACATCCGTGCGAACCTGAACGGCATAGATAAGTGATAGCCAGATGAAAGGGTGACAGGATACGTACTGCAATCGTCGCAGCAAATGAGCTGGTTGTATCCCGGGCAATAGAACTCGCGGTTCACAGCAAACACCGAGCGACCGCAGACGACGCTGCTGGCACCGACATCGTAGCAGTAGCAGTTCTCCTTCTTCTCGAGGGCGGCCTTCATCTCGCGCTTAGTGCTGAGAGGCATCTTGGGGCTGGCGTTAACGCTGACGCTGACGACGGTGAGGACGAGGGTAGTAAAAATGGTTCGGAAGTGCATCTAAACAAACGTGTAGGTCAATTAGCTGGATAACTTGATGGGCAGAGCGCCGGAGTAGTACCTCGAAAAAATGGGATAGGGAGAATAAAACTGGGTCTGAGCAAAGGATTAAAGTGTGAGAGAAGCAAAGTGGGAATGCTGAGGTCAGAGGGAAGATTCAACGTGTTCTTGTAGGTCATCGCTGCGTTATTTTTGGATCGGAGCGTGTTTGGAGCATCTTCGTTTGACAAAGAGTAACGACTTTCCGTAGAGTGCGCAGAACAAGTTTACGAGGGAGCTCTCCGTCGGAGGCGGGAAGGATGGCGATACGCAGCTGTGCTGTGCCCGACCCGGTTTCAAGCTCAAGTGTCGGGTAGTCCTCGTACAGCGGACCAGACAGATCAGCGGCGGAGAGCGTTGAATAGATAGAGAACACACATCGGAGTGGCAAGTGGGTCACAGATAAGTTGGCCCGTAAGATGAAGCGTACTGATGATGCATTGAAAGTTGAAATGCGAGTCGGGATTCACAACGTGAGGGCACTGGCAGGTTTAGATCCTTCGGATTAGCGCGATGCACATCACATTGATATCGGACGAAAGTACAGCAGCAAAACAGCATATTGGCAATGAGCTCGTTCCCTAAGCAGGAATCTACTTCTTCGTGAAGGTCCACTGGGACCGCTTATCAGTCTTGGCGCTAAGGGTGACCTGTAAAGCTCTCCGTTCGGTTTATGATCGTATACGTATACCAGAGGAAACGTACGAGGGTCCCCGATTCTCCGCTTGACAGACTCCAGTAGTATCTGCTGCCGGTGGTGCTGATCCTATGAAAGCGCAAACCCGTAAGTGAAGCTCCAGAATTGGGTAGAAAGCATCCACCAACGTGTAAACGTCTGACGTGTTGGTTTCCTTGATAACCCACTGCTGATTCCTACCGGGCCGACCCTCGACGACGTCGCCTTCGTCAGCACCGTCACCGCTGTAGGCGTCGGTGGCTGTTCCGAAGTTCACAATCGTGTAGCGTTTGTTGCTGAGCTCGGTGACGTTCCACTGTTCGCGCCCGTCAGTAGGAGGAAATAGATGGAAGACATCAGTCTGCTTACTCGAGAGTGATTCTTCAGGTCAAAACTGTCGGCTGTGACGGGCGTCGCTGTATTTCCATCCTCGAGGATCGCGACGTTGCCGTATTGGACGTTGGTGATAACGTACTTTCCTGTTTCGACGGGAGACATCTTCTACTAAGGATGGGATGTCAAGCATTACAGTGCACCCACGTTTATATTGCGAGGCTACGACAGGTGGGGTAAGAATATTTGAACATGCTTGATGACGGAAAGATGCAAGGCCGGATTGGTGCCGAATGCGTTCCATTTCTATCGCTATTCCAGGCGCTAGCGGGACGTCACAAGAAGGACGATGCAAAACAGGATACATACTTAATTTGTAGGCCTTGGCGCTCATAGCTGATCATTCATTCAACAGGATCAGAGACCGGAGATGGCAGCTAGAATGGGCGCCCTTAGGAGATGGAATGACGTTAATGTGGATCTTGGTGATCTCCGGACAGAAAGAGAGTCGACTACGACACAGAGGTATCTGAAGAAATGTCCACGATAAATCAGATATGTAGCTTCAATTGTACTGGCGCCACCTTGAGCGCCCAATGGGGATTGGGGACCATGTTTGGCGCTGCCTATCATATACAGACGGTTAAAATCAGATTAAATTACCGACCGTGTTGAAGCATTTATGTATCTTGAACTTGACAGCGGAGGTGGAAGACGACCAAAAGACGATCGAGGTTGGGAGCATCACGACCACGTGGCGTACATTAGGGCCGGCTCACTGAAAGTGTAGCTTGTCTTCATTCCTTCAGGATGTACGATTCCGAAAGGACATCTAGTACGCTCACAGCCCATTCACGGTCAGCATTCAATGACTGCTATACACGTGGAACCGGCCGTTGCCCTGGGAAACGTCCTTGGTCGTCCATTCGACCGCCACTTACGTTTGAACTGATTGCTTCTAAAAAACTTCTTCGTCGTGCCCTTCCAAGTCCCCAGAAAGACACGGTAAGAAGAACACATACACGCTCTTTTTCTGATGTTGGCTGTAGCTGAAAAATTTTAAGTGAATCCCGGGCTCACTGGATCGACTATTTTGTCAACTCCACTGAGGACATCCGAGCGGATATTTGGAAAGGTATGCCCCCGCTACGATCTATGCTGCTATTTTCTCTAATGTTCCATCCACAGAAAGTTAATCTTCTCTCGCAATGGAGAACGATGTCGAAATGAATTGCCTACCGGATCCGACCGCCACCTCTTCACCCCATTCCGTTTCTGTCGAAGATTTCCCCACCGAAATTCTTGTGACCTTGTTTGCCCAATGTTGCAACGCGTCTACGCCATGCATCATTAGCAGACACGAAGATCACCGCCCATGGAAACAGATACGCTCTATACTGAGACGCGTCTGCCGTCGTTGGCGGCATATCGTTGATGATTTTCCGACGCTCTGGACGGACATCCGGTTCTACTTCTCGCGGCAAGTGACCTTGGAGCAGAAGGTCGCTCTCGAGACAGCAATCCACCGCTCTAAAAACTTCCTCCTCAATGTCGAACTCCTTCTTGAATGGACGTACTCGGATCGTGACGCTGTAATTCAAAGCAGTTCGATTCTTGATAATGTCCTCTCCTTGCTCTTGTCGTCCTCGAGACGATGGAGGTCGCTGACGCTAAATGCGCAGTGCCTTCAGCCCACGACAAATGTCCTGTCGCAACTGCGTGGTAATTTGATGGGCTTAGCGGCGCTCTCTCTCCATGGCATACTGGAAGGGAATATTCCCGAGGATTGCCTGGCTATATTTTCCGACGCCCATAATCTCACCAGCCTTGAGGATGATCGCACATTTGAGCGTCCCTTGAGCATTCCTTCTGCAGGTCTTCGTAGTTTGACATGGCGAGACGGTTCTTCTGTGGACCTGATGCAGCACATCTCCATTTTATGGACACTCATGGATGCCGTCTGCTTGCAGCACCTCGAGTTTACGTGCTCTGACTTTGTCAGTGTACGGCTGCCAACGAACATCCCCTCCGACATCATCATCCCTGACAAAGCCAAACTCCCAATCCTGCACAAAAGTGTAACATCCATCATTACCTCGCGTTGCGACGTATTGGATCTGCTGGAAGCCCCACTAGCTTCGCATGTAGAAGGGGATGAGTGGAACCTGATCCATAGTGCAGGCCTTTTGGCGTTTATTCATCGTTCGGGCTGCTTCATCACGACGCTCGTGATAACGGAGTGCACGATCGCTGGCATGTGGATGTCCAGCGATGCTGCGTTGGTGGCGGCACTTACGACGTTAAACTCCTTAACACTGGATTACAGGAACATCGATGGCCCTTACTTTGTCGATGCGGCCGTGCGTACATGCATTTCCGAGTTTGTCGGGGCATTGTTCGTCACACCACGCCGCAGGATCTTTCCGGACCTGAAGGACGCAGTTATCATCATCGGCGCGCGCCGACGCTATGCCCGACCCCACATGCAGACCCTAGGCAAGATGTTGGACGTTGTCCAGTCTCGCATCGGTTCTCTGAAGCGTCTCGGAATATACTGTTTTACCGACTCACCTGTTCAACTTGGCAGCTGTCCTCCACAAGCGGTCGAGGACGAAGACAATCGCGTACCCATGTTATCGGAGTCTTTGCCTCGATTCGACGCTTTGACAGCGCTTATTCACTTGTCTCCTTCTATCGTCGAAATTCAGATCAATGGTCGGTCAACATTTGTTTCTGGTTATATTGTCTGACTGCTCCATAGGTCAGAATATCCTTGGATAGGCTGGTTGGTGTCCCAGCCTTGTCTAGGTACCTTCGTCTTGTCGACTCGGGCTAGAAGCTCTTCTTGGGATTTGATGATGGTTGCGTTGATAATTCAAAATACACCGTTTTGAGGCTTGTCTATCAAATGTACGATCAAGGACCCAAAGTTCTTGCAGTCTTCTGAGAGTAGAGTCCAGTTTCGAGGGGCGATTTCTTCCGAGTAAGATAGTAGTTGAAGAAAAGACTCTGCTGAGCTCGAGTATAAGGAAATATGCGGGCGATGAAGCTCAGCCCGGCACGGAAGTCACCGTGACTGTGTGCACACAGGACCAGCACAGGGCCAAGAGTGGGTCATCGCGGAGACCAACGACGGCACGTACACGTAGGTTCTCTTTTCGTTTATTAGCGCCCTTTAGGTTGAATTTCCGTACAGGATCAGCACCACCGGAACCTTACAGCTCGAGAA